TATACATCTTTATTTCTTTATTACTTTATATTTCACTGAAGAGCCCAGATCATTTCAAGTTCGAATTTGCCCAAACTTCTGAATATTTGGGGTGCTTTGCTGACACATTTGTCTGGGGCCATCATTTCCCTAAATTCCTGATACGTGTACGTATGTGCATGTGTTTGTCCAGTTTCTGGTGTACTGCAATTTTTTTTTTATGCTTGGAGGCAGTTGGTTTCTGTTGATTGTAGCGTCGTGCAGAACACAGACCAGAGCTGTACGTGTATGTGGGAAGCAGATCTTCAGAATTTTGTCGCGTGGAGGGAATAAAATGGGATTAATAAGATCTGGAAGTCGCAGAAGTGACTTCTGTGTAGCAGACAGGTCTCGCGTCTTTAAATTTCATGAGAGGAAACGGAAATTGCATCCGAACCACACAGCCTGCAGGCATTGCCACAGAACTGCATAGAACATGAATCAAGATGTGGATCCCTCGCCCACAGAGCTATGGATGCCTGACTTACTTTACATCGGTCAGACTTGGCTCGGTTCGATTGATTATGAGTCAGCTGAGGTGTTCCTTTCTTTGCTTTCTTCATTTTATCAGACTTTTTATTTTCTGGGCCACGCAGTAGCGTAGTTGGTTGAGGAACTGTGCTACAAACCGCAAGGTCGCGGGTTCGATTCCGATGATACCACTGTATTTTTCAGTTGACCTAATCCTTCCAGCCGCACTATGACCCTGGGGTCTTCTCAGCCTCTAACAGAAATGAGTACCAGGAATCTTCCTGGGGGGTAAAGGACGGTCGCTGCGTAAGGCTGACAACCTCATTGCCATCTGTGAGCCGATTGTATGGAAAATGTGGGAGTCTCGACGTCTCACAACCCTATGGGCCTCCACGGTCTGTTACAGGGAGAGCTTTACTTCTTTCTTTTTGGTTAAAATAAATATTGTAGTCTTATAAAATAGAAAAAAGTAAATCAAATTCAGTAATCACTCATACACAAGGTAGTACAAGAAACTACATTCCACAACTAAAAAAAAAAACCCGGCCTTCAAAATACTACACGCGAAATAGAAAAATACATATAACTGAACTCAGGTTTGTGTACTGCATCCCATTAACACTTCTGCCCACTTGGCAGTGGCGGGATATCCATCCCTCTGTGCGACATTACGTACTTTGACGGCTGTGAAACGCCGGTGGATGGGAGTCGAAACAGTTCACGTATTGGGCGAGAGATGTAGCTGCCCACACGAAAATTCTGCAGTTTTATTAGCCATTTCTGTCTGATTGTCTTCAGTTTAGATATGGAGCTGCTGCAGGAGACATGACCAGGTGGTGTGGCAATGGGGTGTTGATCAGCGCTAACTTGTAGGAACAAATGTCACTTTCAAATGGTTATTCTGATCCGAGAGCACATTGGTTTAAACGTCATCCAGTGTTCAGCGGTCCTGACTGAAGTTCTCCTCATTTCTGTTAGCTTCTCAAGATAAACTCTGAGATACAATCTCAGAATCTCTTACAACGGCTTTTTCCCGCACACTTTCAAATTCATTACTTGCAGATCATCTTAATATCCCACGCTCTTGATGGAACAGAGCTCTCTTGACGAGCCAAATGTTACTCTCCTATTCAATAGGTTATCCATGCTTACGGAAAAGGAAGATGCATTATTGTATTTACAAAATGCAGCCAGTGGTCTGCATCCTGAGCCAGCTGAATCTAGGTCACATTCTCGAACCTTGTTTCTCCACTATACTTTTTAATATTATCCCCATCTACATCTAGGGCTCCCACATGGTCTCTTCCCTTCAGGTTTCTCGACAAAACTCTTCTTATGCATGCGTCATCTCTGACGCGTGCTACCAGCTTCATCTGTCTCACTCTTCTATATTTAATCACTCATCACGCTGATAACCTCTTAATTTAAGTCCGAATCTCTGGGTAACGTATCAACCCATGTTAAGCGTTCGCAGCCGACGCAACCAGCCTTAAGATTGAACAGTGCCTCTTGTCGGATTTCAGTGACTTTATTCAACATATTCTCAGCGTACCTCCATGTCTGGAGGCCGGCTCCACATCTGCAACTGAGGACATGTAGTGTTGCGTTGAAGAAACCCCACAGAACACGAACACCAGCACTGGCACAGCATCATTTAATGACCAAGAGTTCAGCCATGAGTGACTGCAGTCTTAGACTTGGCCCACTTCAGCTGCGTCTTAGTGGTAGTCATCACCAGACAGTGCCATGGCTCGCTACGTAGCGATTAGAAGCTTCCAAGTACACGTTAGGAACCAAAATGGCTGTACCGAAGATCCCATTACACACACTGGACATTTCTTCCGTAAAGTTGCCAACTCAAGGTGTGACGTGCCCTCAGTACGCGTTTCACACACGAACCCGAATTTCATTTCGCGACTGCATTTGGAGAGCGAGACAGAAAACTGTTGATATTCAGCCCTGTAATTGCGTTGCCAGGTCAACAGAAAAGCGTTGATACCTTGGGGGTGGTGAGGGGATCTAATATTCTCCCTCTGCAGTCACTTTTATGAGGGCTATTCCGAAAGTAACCCCCGGTGATCTGTTAACGAAATAAGCAGTGAGAAACAAATTTTTATTATGTACAAAAAATACGTACATAAAACTGCTTTTCAACGTATTCACCGCCGCAACTGAGTCACTTGTCGTATCGGTGAATAAGTTCTTGTATGCCTGTGTCAAGGAAGTCTGCCACCGATGAGCTCAGCCATGTTTTGACATCTTTCAATGTCTCCTCATTGTTGAAAACTGATTCAAAATAGCTCTTCAAGTATGTGAACAGGTGGTAGTCATTCAGAGTGAGATCAGGGCTGTAAGGGGATAGTCAAACAACTCCCAGTTGAAAGTTCCAGCCGTGTTCGAGTGCAAGGAGGTGTATGGAGATATACATTGTCATGGAGAAGCACTACACCGGAAATCAGCCTTCCACATCTTTTTTTTTTCTAAATGGCTCTATGCAGTTTTTAGTGTTTTGAAATACAAAACATTGCAGAGGCGACAGGCAGCAGCCTTCCACTACATAGGCATACAAAAAGTGATCCCCGGTACGAGAAGTGACTCAGTTCCGGCGGTGACTACGTTCAGAAGTAGCTTAAGTATGTGCGTACTTTTTGTATATAATAAAATTTTCCCATTAATTGTTTTGTTAACAGCTCACCGGGCGTTACCTTCCGAATGGCTCTCTTACAAATTGGGATAGGGCTGTTGGGTGCAACTGCGATAAATATCCCATTAGTTCTGAAGGTTAATTCCGTATAATTCGAAGAGTATTATCTTCTGAGATGTGAAGACGTGTAGTCTGGTGTAAGTTTACTGATGTCTTAGAGGAAATTACTGCTTACTGCCCCCATCAGCAGGCTTGAAGATCAAACAGCCATTTTGTTTCCTCTTTGCTTGGCTCATGTTTCGATCCTCAACGCATTGCCTTCCTCCACAGAATTTCCGTTGGTTTATTTTGGGCGGACCCGCATGGCAAATTCTGTGCTTCCTGTGTGGGTTAGCGAATCACAGTCCGGTGATCACTGAGTTATGTTAATTAGCTGTACCGGGTGAACCGGCGTAATGAGACCGCTATTCACATTGCTACAGTTTTGTGAGCCAGTGTCACGTAACAGCTGTATTAGAGTGTTGTTATGAAGCGTTGACGGCCACTACGGAAGAGACAAATCAATTACCGCAGCCTACATGTAACATTTCGACTGGGCAGCTCATATCGGCGCATGCTTTTGTTTAATATTCACTTGAAGCCGTTTTGTTTTGCAATTTACAGGGCCGCGCAATTAGTATGCTAAACAATAATCCTATTATTTTGGTTTATCCATTGCGCAGTTAGTATGCCCCACCGCAGAAGTTCGTGGCGCTTTATCAGCAAACACGGAAACATGCTTGCACTCCGAAGTACAGTGGTTACTATATTTACCATCTGTTTTAACACCCAGATGCTGTCAGTTTTTTCATGTATTTATGGATTTCTCATTAGCAGGCAGCGATTATGTCTTCAGAGGGGATTATCTGGTTGAGGCTTTCTAATGGAGATGCGCTGAGTTTACAGAGGGGATGGAGCTGTGTATATAATTTGGACGAAATGACATCGTGCTTATTGCATTACGGTGACGGGCATAACAAAAGCGCGAGAGTAAAGCTGTCCCTGCGCTTAATTAAGCACCACCCCGGGAGGGCACACCCTAGCCTCGACTCTATATGAAGGTGAGTGGTCAGCTTCATATCTCGGTAGGAAGGTGGGTGGGCCCTGGAAAAATGGAAATAAAAAATAAATCTCAGCCTCTTCCGGAAATCTAATCCTGATATCCTGGTCATCCCGCGCATAATCTCATGACTACATTGACTGAGCTACTTTCTTCTATTTTTGTGTAAATTTCCTCCTTTTTTCTAATTAAGTACGATTGTACGCCATATATTGTGGCGTGTTCTTTCAAAGCAAGAATTATGGAGTCATAACAGCGGACGTTGCTAAGCAGCCGCCCGCAAAGAAAACAGAGGAATTGTGTTCCCTATGCAGTCAGTGCCGAGAGGTTATGAGCGGGAGTAGCTGGAAAATTGAGTTAGTTTGTTATTTGAGAGACGAGAACTGGAGCAGTGAGTTTAGTTGTAGGACAGTCACATGCCTGTAAGAACTTGAGCACGGAAGAAGAGGACATTGTTGAGATCCGTCACCAGGCAACGACTGGTGAAAACTTAGTACGCTCTGTATTGAACTGCAGAGTGTGTAAATTAGCGATAGCGCTATAGTTACTTGTATTAGTTACAGTCTATAAATTACCAATTACCAATCCAAACCCCGTCTATAATTACTCATACGCGTGACAGTGTAACGGTAGTTTTCGAATGTCAAGACAATGAAGGTTCCAGATGTCCCATCATGTCCACAATTGCGACCACCCACATGACAGGATGCAGTGACGAAGCCGCCCCGAGAGGAACCTGCTCTAACAGAGATATCTCTGTGCTTCCAGCTGCCGCAGATCGAGTCGGACGGGCAGGAACTGAACGGGCGTCGATTCCGCGTAGAAAATGGAGAAACACTTGGAGAGAAGGAAGAGGTAAGTGCCTTGCGCTTATTATTATTATTATTATTATCATTATTATTATTATTTGAGGGGTGGGTTTCCCCATGCACCGCGACTAATAGTCTATTGTACGTCCCCCTTTGATATTCTACCAGTCGCCATACCCTGCCGGTACTGGTGCTCGCTATCAGCCCCGTTCAGCCAGCAAAGCTGGCAGTGGTTCCCGATACTTCCCCATCTACCGGAGGCATTGGAAACTACTTGGGCGGGAAACTTTGCCTAATTTTGCTCAGAAGTCTCCTAGAGACATAAGGAGCCTTGCGCTTAAAGAATTGTTAGTTTTAGTTTCAGTTTATGTTACCTTCCGTTACAGTGTTCCCATAACGCTCCTCCACTCTTGGCTAGTCGCGTCAGTCACCGAGTCCTTACTGAGTGTCTGAGTCAGCTTGTCTCTTTGCCGGGTAGTCATTGCATTACGAGAAAATCGTACAAATCACCCTGGTTCCTACAAGATCTACACGGCGCCACATCCCAGAAGATGGCATTCTTCATCCTCAAGATAGTTGATGTCAGTGCCCAGATTAGAACCGCGGACCTCCTTTCAGCCAGCTTGTTCGAGCCAAATGTCTCGGAACTGATGGAGCATGTTTGTGCTTATTTCTGAGCGGGAGTTGGACGTCAGCCTGCAGATATCCGCGTTGGTCTGTCGGCTTAGCAGAGTTGTGCAGTGCCCGATACAGAGACTAGTGGTGTGAGGGCGGCTAATAAAGCAGACGGCGGGGGTGTATTAATGGCATTGATGACCCAGGGTTGATGATCTCTGCGGGCAAGTTGCCAGGGGGTTACACCCTCAAGCCTCTTAAACGTGTTGTGAACTCTGTGAATAGAAGACGATACATAGCGCTAGCGGCGCAACAGCCTCAGTCTGAACTCGCCGAAGTGGACATGTGTCTCACTTGCACTGAGGACGTGCCCCATCAAAACCCAAGTAGCAGTTGAACTTATTGTGCTTCAGTTACTTATATGTTCTGAAATGGGCCACGACAGGTTAGAAATTTCTCAAAACTCTGGATTCGCAAGTTTCTCTTCACGCTGAATATCCAGTTTACTGACGAAAAGAAAGTTTTATCCTTTTAATTTGTAATTATGATAAGCAGTTTTATAATAATCTACAATCCATGAAATCACAACTGAATGCAATCTTTCGAAATGTTTCTTCATATAGCTTATCACAATAATTAACTGAGTCGGTGAACCGGAGCCTTTCGTTAGAAGGCAGGCAGTCGCTCAGCTGGTCAATGACCACCCTTCTCACCCCTTTGTGGGACTCCTACTTTACCCCGTTCTGCATTCTACAATTCACAACCCTTTTTCCTTAAAATCAATGTTGCTAATGTTGCTATCCCATCTACGCCTCGTCTCTCAAGTAGCGTTTGGATTCCTAGGATGTGACACTGAGTAGCCTAGCAGATGTACCCTCTGTTTGGACGTTTCGGAAAGAGTAATTTTCTCATGAGGCCACGCCATAGCTCAAGCGGTTAGTCGCTTGCTTCCCACCGCGGCGGCCCGGGTTCGATCCCGGGTCTGCTCAAGTGGGATTTGTCGTGGACCAAGTGGCGCTGGGGCAGGTTTTCTCCGAGTACTTCGGTTTCCCCTCTCAATCTTCATTCCACCAACTGCTCCACAATCACCCTCACCTATCATCTGGGGCTGGTACAATAGGCCAGAAGTGGCCGCAGTACAAGGGATTTTAGTCCCACCTCACTAGCAATAAAAAAAAATTCCTCATGAAGATAAGTAATCAGGTTTGAAATTCTCTTGGTTGTGAGTATAAAGATACCGTTTTTAGAATATGACTGTGTAGTCTGGTAGAAGTTTGCCGACGTTTCGGAGCGTCATTCTGCCTTCACATTCAAGATAGGTCTAAGCCAAACATGGAAAAGCAATATGGACGTAGAGACGACATGGAGTTCATGACTCCTTTCCCTGTATATGTACCAATTTTTTCCACGCTCCGCCCACTTTTCTATCCTGAAGATGGAAGCAGTACGTTCCGCCAGAACGTCAGTAAATATCTACCAGACAATACGCCTTCACATTCAAGATAGGTCTAAGCCAAACATGGAAAAGCAATATGGACGTAGAGACGACATGGAGTTCATGACTCCTTTCCCTGTATATGTACCAATTTTTTCCACGCTCCGCCCACTTTTCTATCCTGAAGATGGAAGCAGTACGTTCCGCCAGAACGTCAGTAAATATCTACCAGACAATACGTCGCCATATCGCTGTGTCTCCTTTTCGCGATGACTTCATGGCGGGCTGCGCGCGCAGGATACGGGGCAGTGCTCGTGTCCAGCCGTCCACACGTTGCGACAGACGCGCGTTTCCGGGTTAGCCTCCCGCACAACAGACACGTCTATTCCTACTGACCCCTATCTTTGTGCATGTTTGTTCATGTTCCGTGCTATTCCCTTCTTGTGTTGCACAAATCTCATTTCCTTCGCTGTCCCTTCGCTGTAAATGTCTTCCTTTGTAATCTCCTGTGTTTGTATTTTTTTGCCTTATGTTTATTTCCTTCCCTCCTTCTCATTTTTATGTATGTCTTTCTGCTTCTTTTGTCTTTCGTTTTCTAATTAATTCGTTACTTCTCATTTCTCTCCGCCTTGTCTTTATTCTTTTATTTTTTCCTTTCCCACTTTTATTGTGCCTTTTTTCTATAATTAATTAATAATGCATTAATCTATGTACTGAACATTAATTTACTTATTTTTCTTACCCACCGTATTTCTCTTCGTTCCTCTCATTGTCTTCTTTATTACTTCTATCGTTTTCCTCTTCTCCTGTATGTTCACTCTTCAATTAATTATCTGACATAATGTTTCTTTGTTTTTTCCTTAATTCGTTTTTCTTTTTGTTCGCTTTTTCTTTTCCTTTCTTCCTGTCCCCATTTAGTCTGTTTACCTCTCTCTTTCGCTCTCAATTCTTCATACCCATCTCCTCCTTTCATGAAGCTGTTCCTCTCGATATAGAGTGTACGTTTCGCCACGAAGCGAACCTTCTTCAAGTGAGTTCCTCTTTACACTTGTCTTCATCGTCCGCTTCTCTTCCACTTCCCACATCAACAGAGATAATTATTAAGTATGAGAAATCATGTCTTGTCTTCCATTTTGTATTATATTTTTATTTATTTATCCTTGCATTAGCATTTAACCGCTTCTGTGGTCTAGTTGTCAGAGTTCCTGGCTACAGATACAGAGGTCCGGGTTCGATTCCCTGCTCTACAAGATTTTTTTTTGAGAAGTAGTGTGTCTGGAACGGGGTCCACTCAGCCTCGTGATGATAATTTGGGAGTTATTTCAAGGAAATAGCGGCTCAGGTCTATAAAACCAACATTAACGGACACAGGGATTCGTTGCGCTGACCACGCGACACCCTCTATCCGCTAAAGTTGGCACTAAATATTCGCCGACAAGCGGCGGTCGCTCGGAAGGAATAGTTCGCTTGCAGACTAAAATCACGGAGTTTTTTTTTGCATTAGAATTTACTTTGTTTTCTTCCCAATGATCCCCCCAGTAAAGTGTCATTTTACACCTGTCCACATTATCATTTTCCCTTCATTAGCATATCCTTGTTCATCCCATCGAGAAAAGCCTTACCTAAAGATCATTAAATTAGGACAGAGTAAAAGGTAAAGTAAAGCTATCCCTGTAACAGGCCGTGGAGGTCCATAGGGTTCTGAGACGTCGAGGCTCCTACATTTCCTACACAGACGATCCAGAGTTGGCGGTCAGGTTCTTAGACTTACGCGACGGCCGGCCGCCCTTTACCCCCCAGGAACATTTGTGGTATTCATTCCTGTTAGAGGCTGAGTCGACCGCAGGGCCATAGTGCGGCTGGAAGGAATGGGTCAATTAAAAAATACAGTGACCTCATCGGGAATGGAACCCGTGACCTTCCGGCCTGTAGCATATTGTCTCAACCAGCTGCGCTACCGCGTGCCCCCAATAAGGACACAGTTTTCGAGAATTTTTCTTATTACCTCTCCTTTCATCGTCGCGTCACGTTTCCCCTTCCTGCATCACCCCACTTCTTGATTCCCCTATCTGAAATTCAAGAAGATGCTCTTCTCAGCATTGAATTAGCTTCATCTCCTAACCCATGTTATAAAACTTCATTTACATGTTTTCATTGCACAGGCATCTGTTTTCTAACATTTAATTAATGAAATAAAGTTATTAGCCAATTTGTATTCAGTTTATTCCTGACTGCGAGGTAACCTTATGGGTTCAGAGTGACGAGCCAGACTCTTCCAGTTGTTAGTGCCTCTCTTATTAAGACAAAAGTTTCTTTGGGAATATGTAATGAATCCTTACCCTCTGGTACTTCAGAATAGAGGCCACCGTACAGTTAACCAAGTGTCTCAGTGGAATTTAATTGTCTCAGCTCGTCCCTCATACTCGCACAACGGTTTCTGTCTAACTACCTGCAAATGTATTCTAGTCAGTAAGTCCGCAGTAAGGCCCCTTCTTTTGTATCAGAGCGTGGTTAGGATATAGCTTGCCGCCTGAGTCTTCTGCTTGGCTTATTCTTCCACCTTGAAGATGGAGGCGATGTGTTCCTCCGTAATATGCGAACTACACGGCGTCACAACTATGGAAGCCGTACTCTTCGTGCAAACTGGCGACAGAACCTGAAATCCAACAAGTCTGGAGTAGTGAGAAAACAGACAAGTGCCCGGGGGGGGGGGGGGGTAACCGGACCACCCTGTTCCTGAGGGATATAAATACGGGGACCTGGCTCTCCAGGTTGGGGGAGTCTGAGGCAGTAGAATATGGTCATGTGGCCCTCTGGACTCGGACCCAAGAATGACCGCACTGGCGAGGACCAACAGCAGTTTGAAAACGACAGACTCGTCCTCTCGTCAGAGAGGGTGGCCCACATCAACAAACCCGCAACTGTCTGACAGAAATAAAAATCTGGTCTTAAGACCCAGATGGGTGCTTGACACCAAGGCAGACTGACTGACAGAC